TATCTATCTATCTATCTATCTATCTATCTATCTATCTATCTATCTATCTATCTATCTATCTATCTATCTATCTATCTATCTATCTATCTATCTATCTATCTATCTATCTATCTATCTATCTATATATATATATATATCTATATATATATATATCTATCTATCTAAGAAAATCTGAAACAATCTCTATGTTGAAAATTAAATTTTCACTTCTATAAAATGATGTGTTTTGATATTCATGGGTATAATTTTGTAAATGTACTTAAGTTTTCTAATCGTCATTGATTTTCTTAATGGGTAAACATATGTTCTTTTGTAAAATGAGAACATAGCATCTATTTTTCACATCTGTAATTTTCCCGATTAACGTGTTGATGAAGCAATTCTTAAATTACGTTATTTTAAAATTTATTTTTTCTTAACTGTTAAAATTGGGTAAAATGCTTAAATTGGTTTCTTAGTTGTTTCTTGAAATGTATTTGTAATTGATAATAAAATACTTAAAAGTTATCTAAAATAAAGGCGGATATATAATATGTTTTGCGCATTTAAATTTATTCTATTTCCGTAAAATAATTGAGAATAATTACGATTATCTTTAAGAATTCGAATCTATTTAAAATCTTTTCGTTTCTTCGGCGTTATCGTCAGCCTATCTCATTCTTATATATATATTTTGCTGCTGGATCCGTCCGTCACAATGTGACGATGGAATGGGCTTCGGATGACGAAAGCCACATGGCCTGGGATTATTCTAAGGATTATAAGCTGGTTCCCAACAACAAATCGCCTCTCTCCACGCCGCTGGGTAACCCAAGCGAACATCATTGGATGATACAGCTTGGCACCAGTGACGTCGCAGGAGTTGTCGGAATGTTTCATTTATTTTATCAATGTTATCCGCCTTTCGGGACTCCATCTCCTGATTTGATTTCAGAGTTTCCTTCTCTTAGATGGGTTGCCATCCAAGGTTAAAGAGTCCCATCTACCCGGATGGTACCACGGTATACGCCCTTAATCCGTTCCAGATCATTGGACGTATACCAAAAAGGACGTATACCAAACAGGACGTATACCAAACAGGACGTATACCAAATAGGACGTGTACCAAACAGGACGTATACCAAACAAGACGTATACCAAACAGGACTTATGCCAAACAGGACGTGTACTAAACAGGAGTATACCAAACAGGACGTATACCAAACAGGACGTATACCAAACAGGTCGTATACCAAACAGGACGTGTACCAAACAGGACGTATACCAAACATGACGTATACCAAACAGGACGTATACCAAACAGGAGTATACCAAACAGGACGTATACCAAACAGGACGTATACCAAACAGGACGTATACCAACATGAGTATACCAAACAGGACGTATACCAAACAGGACGTGTACCAAACAGGACGTGTACCAAACAGGACGTATACCAAATAGGACGTTTACCAAACAGGACGTATACCAAACAGGGCGTATACCAAACAGGACGTATACCAAACAGGACGTATACGAAACAGGAGTATACCAAACAGGACGTGTACCAAACAGGACGTATACCAAACAGGACGTGTACCAAACAGGACGTGTACCAAACAGGACGTATATCAAACGTATTGTTCC